CGAACTCACAAACTACAAGATCATGACCTGAGCTGAAGTCGGACGCTCAACCGACCGAGCCACCCAGGCGCCCACTCCCCCACCCCCAATTTTTTAAATAAAAATAAAAGTTGGATTGTGTTCAGTAAACCATCACTTTGGGTCTCTAGTTTGGAGAACAGTATATTTGAGGGATGCATGTCCTACATATTTAAAACGCTTGAGTTGTAAGAGATTTTGGGGACCTAAAATTACACAGCTGTCAGCTATGAGTTTTCTTCATACCACTGTATGAATAGTGACTCCAAGAATAGTAGGATAATTCTTAACATTTTGTTCATTTGGATAAAATAGGAATTGGTCCTGGTTAAAAGAGGTAAATGGTAGAGTGTCGTATGCCTTGCTTAAAGGAAGTAAATGGTAGTGTTAATAGAAACTTGGATAGGTGTTGATGTATTTTTCCTTTTAAAAAATTTTTGTAGTTTCTAATAAGTTAATTTAAAAAATAGGGGTGCCTGGGTGGCTCAGTCGGTTGAGCCTCTGACTTTGGCTGAGGCCATGATATCATGGTTCGTGAGTTCGAGCCCCACGTTGGGCTCTGTGCGGACAGCTCAGAGCTTGGAGCCTGCTTTGGATTCTGTGTTTCCCTCTCTCCCTCCCTCCCTCCCCCTCCCTTTCTCCCTCCCTCCATCCCCCTCCCTTTCTCCCTCCATCCCCCTCCCTTTCTCCCTCCCTCCCTCCCCCTCCCTTTCTCTCTCTCTCTCTCTCTGCCTACCCCTCCCCTGCTCACACTTTTTCTCTCTCAAAAATAAGTAAGCATTAAAAAAATTCTTTTTAATAGTAAATATATGTAAAATAATTTGTTTTTATGATCTACTCTAGTGACTGGTTAACATGTAAATTCATGTAAATTCAAAGATTGAATAAAGGGATGAGTCTGGCTCCTTAGAGGGTGATGTCCCCACAGATTGGAAAAACACTATTTTAGGCTGTATTTTCTTCCTTAAGAAAATGTTCTTTGTATTATAGAAGGTTTTTTCAACTGAAGTATAGTTGACATTAAGTTAGTTTCAGGTGTACAACCTAGTGATGCAACAATTATATACATTATGAAATGTTTACTACAGTAAGTGTATTACAAGTTATTAACTATATTCCCTATGTTATACTTTCCATCCCTGTGAGTAGACAATATTTTAAAACAATTTGCATATGTAATAAAAATGATTGTGTATAAATCAAATAGGTGAATTGCATTATATGTAAATTATATCCCAATCTGTTAAAGAAGAAAGGTAAAAATAATTAAAAAAAATTAATGTTGTAAAAGAGTGTAAGAGGTAGTTTAAGTTTTGTCTTTACCCACTGAAAACAGTCTCCTGGTTCTCCCCCGAGGTTACCACTTTCAGCAGGTAATTAGGTGACCTTATAGTCCTTGTGTATAAAAGGATGTGAATGTGTAATATGAGATTGTTTAAAAGCTGGTTTCATTAGAGAGGCATCCTGCATTTTGGGGAGCAGTACAAGGCTTCCCATTGTAATGTTTAGCTTTGAATTCTTTTCATTTCAACAACCTTTTATGGTATGCTGATACCTTTGATTTTTTTTTTTTTTTTTTTTTTTTTTTT